AAGCCTCTCCTTCTATTATCTATAGGATTCCACCATTGTCTTTAGTACGTATCAGTGAAGAATATTGCCTAAGCCTCTTCTTCTATTATCTATAGGATTTCACCATTGTCTTTAGTACGTATCAGTGAAGAATATTGCCTAAGCCTCTCCTCCTATTATCTATAGGATTCCAGCATTTTCTTTAGTACGTATCAGTGAAGAATATTGGCTAAGCCTCGCCTTCTATTATCTATAGGATTCCAGCATTTTCTTTAGTACGTATCAGTGAAGAATATTGCCTAAGCCTCGCCTTCTATTATCTATAGGATTCCAGCATTTTCTTTAGTACGTATCAGTGAAGAATATTGGCTAAGCCTCGCCTTCTATTATCTATAGGATTTCACCATTGTCTTTAGTACGTATCAGTGAAGAATATTGCCTAAGCCTCGCCTTCTATTATCTATAGGATTCCACCATTGTCTTTAGTACGTATCAGTGAAGAATATTGCCTAAGCCTCTCCTTCTATTATCTATAGGATTTCACCATTGTCTTTAGTACGTATCAGTGAAGAATATTGCCTAAGCCTCTCCTCCTATTATCTATAGGATTCCACCATTGTCTTTAGTACGTATCAGCTAGAAAATGTGATAATCCGTGTTAAATTTGATATCGCATTTGTGAAATTCGTTTGTTCGGTTTCGCGTGTAAAACTTGTCCCACAGGGTTGAACTTGATACACTCAAAAATAATGTGTTCCACTGTTAGTGGAAACTTTGAATGTCCTCGTCGAGTTGAGGCTTGCCCTTTAGGAGGTACGCTTGAATTATTCATTATTTATTTGATCCTCTTGGGGACCTAGATTTTTTAAATTTAATTATCAAAATTAATTGCAATTTATATTAGATGTCAAATATAATTATTGTTTTAAAGATTGAAAAGTGTGTTCTACAGTAGGAAGCATTTCATGGTTTTAAGCCAAGAGCGATCTAGAGTGAATTTTAAGTGAAAATCTTTATTGCAAACTCAAGAATATTTTTTTTGCATATTGAGGCAATAGTTTTCCTCACATATTTCCATGACATAAGGGGATTAATCGTTACTAAATTTGATTTATACAGATTATAAATCACCAAGCAAAGTTTAATCCAGATATGTGTCTACTATGGTTGAGAAAATGCGTAAAAGTCTAGGACGCTATGAATACTGTATAAATTTGTGTGCCAAAAGATGCCAGACTAATGCTATCCCCCTCTCCTTTTTCCTCGCTCTTGTCCACTACTCTTACTTCGCCCTTCTCCGTTCCTCTTTCTTCGCTCTTATCCATTTTTCTTTCCTCGTGACTTTGATCTATGCGCAGATTAATTACTCAGAATCCTCAATAACATTTTTATATTTATCAAGCATATAAAAGAAAAGAATAAAAGTGTCTCCGAAGTCCTGACTCAATCAAATCATTTTCTTAACTATTCTGTTCTTTATTAAGGTTGAAAGTGCATAAAGAAATATTTAAAACTCAAATTTTAACATAAGAAGCTGACAGATATTATTTAAAAATGTTTTTGTTTGGATCAAGAGAAGTAAAACGATATGTAATGATAAGTATCAACGGCGACACTCTTTGTCTTCCTCGTCAGCAACAACGTATTTCATTAAATTCGACGAAATCTTTCACTGCTCTAGGAGCAAGCATGCTTTAATGGGTACAAATCAAAAATTATTTTGTTTGACATGCAATGGAAATCGATTATACACCTTTCTCTCAGACAATTGGTTGTGCATATATACGTATCAATGTGTTGTAATCGTCTTTTGAAATGTTATACGATTACAGGTGAATCCCTGGTACAAATCCACTTCTTAGTTGTCAATAACAATATATACTCCAATGTATTAGCAATATAATCTGCACATACGGATCGGGGTTATGGTGGAGCCGGCATCCTCCCAAATCCTAATCTATAATGTACTTTAAGAACACAATTATAAAACGTACGACTTGAGACAAAGTGATTGCATCATGGGCGTATACTGAAAAATTCTGGGCTGTCTCCTTTACAATAAGACCATTTTGAACTGCTGATAGTCATATTTTTTCTGATAAATTTAAACTTGATGCATTGATATAACAGTCACTTAGTGTATGTTTAAAATAGCCGCCACTGCTACACTTTGGATATAATGCTTAGTGCTCAATGCAATGGAGATTGAGTCTTGATATAGACGGAACAAATGTCTTTATATTGTAATCCACAATCTCCCGTCCAGCTAAATATATCGAATGGAAAATCAACAGCTATTAACCCATCTCTAAAGCATATGTGTCGAGCTATGCAAGCTTTAATAATCTAGTTTGTTAATGAAAATAGTTTTCTTCTAAAGATACCATCTGAACAAGGGTCTGCTGGGTATTATACAAATGTTTTATAAACAACTGATCTTTATCATCCAAAAACGTTACTCTCTAACAAAGCGGCTCTCAAAATCTATCCTCAAAATATTGATTTATTTTTCCCATGAAACTGCGAATTTCAAAAGGCAACCTTTATAATTCATGTAATTGCAACAAAAAGACTTGAATGGCAGTGAATATATCTGTGTATAAACGTTTCATAGTAAGTACTTTCTTTCGCATGTAGAGTAGGCGAGATAGGTCCCTGATTTCATCGTTCCTTCTCTACTATTAATTTCCATTTTACTACTCAAAACAAGACCACGAACTTTTTTACGATACATCCTCCTTCCGATGGAGAGAGAGAGAAAGGATGCATGGTTCATTCCTAAGCTTGTCTCTCTCTCTCTCTCTCTCTCTCTCTCTCTCTCTCTCTCTCTCTCTCTCTCTCTCTCTCTCTCTCTCTTTCTCTCTCTCTCTGTTGACAGTTTAAACAGGTTTCATGTCTGTTTCAATTGAAAAAAAAACTTACTGATAAACTGCTAGTCTTTTATAGAAATATTAAATATTATGCAACACACAGATATAGATATCTCCGTTACATTAGCCTTTGACATCATTAGGAGCATCCATTAGGATGGATACATGGAGAAGACAAATAAATCTAGCTGTTTTAAGCTTATACACAACAGCTAGTTCATGCAACACGTCAACACAGAGCAGCTGGAAAGGACTTCTCTATAGCTACCTTAACTTGGTATCCGATACGCTCATTTATTGTATTGGCAAAAAGCAAAGGGTCTCGTGGCATTTGTTCCCAAAGAAGGGTCATTTCATGGGTCGAAACATAAATACTACATTGTATGGATTCTTATTTGTTTTCCAATCACATTGAATAAAACTAATTCCTTTCACTAATGGCGAGTTAGCGTATTTTTATATATAATTTCATTTCTAATTAAACCTTAAGTTGAATTAAACTTAATTCATAGGAGCAAATCAACTTGACAGTGATGATTTCTTAAATTTATTATAAAGATAATCTATATAATTAAAATGAAGAGGATGGTATATGTCAAAACAAAATATCCCATGTTCTACTTGATTAGTGTACTTGAAATACTGCTCGAAATATTTAAACATGTTTCCGTGCTTGAAACACGCTACACGCTAAATATGGTACCGACAGGATTGATGTGAAGTGGAAAAGCCAAGAAAGGTATCAAATATTTATACAAAATTGTTTTCAGTACTGCCTGAACCATTCTTTTCTGCCTTGGCTTTGATCATCTGTTTATTATAGAAATACGAATCCCTAAATTTATTGCTAAAAACCTGCGAGCGCTCTCTGCCGTATATGCTAGCTTATAAGTCAAGTAAAACAGCAAACAACAAATATCCTGATCTGCCATATTATAATGCGCCTGCTTTGTACTAATAATTACTCTTAACAAACTGCACAGACTCAAAATTTGCCAGAGAATGATGTGACGGCAGATCTGGATCTGAGCAGTTTGCAGTTGGACTCGATCTATAAGCAAGTATAAACGGTACATTGTTATTTTATCAATCCGTGTAGGGTTGTTTAGCAAGCTGCATTGTTATTTTATCAATCCGTGTAGGGTTGTTTAGCAAGCTTTCATTCATAAAAATACGGTACACAGATGAGTTATATAGGGGGAAAACTAAGATGTCGTGGGAGATTAAGACTTTGTTGGAGACAATGAGGTGTCTGTGGGAAGTTAACGTTATGAATGTCACTATTGTTGTTGTTAGTGTAGAAGTTTATAGTGATGTCTTTCATTGGGGCATCATACCATAGACATGTAGCATAATGTCCTACCCAGTCTCATTCCTGACACCAGGCTGACCAGGTCTAATACTGACATCTTAATGATAGCATTCTTAATTGCTTGTTTAATGCTGTTTTGATCTTTTTGCGACCTGTATGACATCCTTCCATCTTTGTTTTGAAAACTGAGCTATCAAGCCACATTGTACGTTTTAAGGGTGCCCAGGGGTGGGGTTGAGGCTTGCTTACTGGTACTTTAGCCGTGCACAAACTACACATATTTAGACACCAAATATTTAAATCTTCCATTTTTTAATGTGTGAATACAATATCAACTGGCTGTTAAACCAATTAGTAACTGTTATTGTTTTCCTAATATTTACATTTATATATATATATATATATATATATATATATATATATATATATATATATATATATATATAGATATATATATATATATATATATATATATATAATGCTTACAATTAGTGCAAACAAATATTACATTGTGACCTTAAGACCTATTCAAACTTATGCTTAATATTTACTTAAAGGTCTTCTTTTGTGCAAGAATTGCAAGCCCTGTGTGGGTACTTGTTTATGCTTACCGAAGGCAGTGATTTGTGTGTGATTTGGAATTTGAAACCTAGCTTAAAAATTGTCCAATTATATCGCTACGATGTCTGTATTGTGGCAGTTCATAGTGATATCTAGCAGTGGGACATCATGCGGCAGTCACATTATGCTGACACCAAGTTAACCAGTCGTAACACTAACCTCTTAATGCTGAGCGCCAAGCGATGCAAATGTTAGTACTATTATTGCAAATCTTGGTATAACTCGGCTGGGGATCGAACCCGCGATCTTCTGCATCCGAGGTGGACGCTCTAACTACTAGGCCACCGGAGCTGTCTCATCGAAGGCCATCGAGATAGTTACAGAAAGAATTTTTATAGATAAAACAGGGCAAGCAACCCAGAAATAAGAATTATACATTCGTACATCTACACTTTTATCATAATGCATACTTACTTGTATGTACAATATACTTGTATGTATTTTACAGTGAGGATTAACATAGTTTGGATGCACATTTTCTGATAATTTATATTATCTGATATTTTATATCATGTTCCACTGTTTGCATTCCACTTGAATATCAATGCGATTTAGTTTTAACTTTTGGATTGAAGTGCATGTTATCATTTCCTTACAATACGTGTGTAGATTTGAATAATATCTTATTAATTAATGTTTCTGTCTTTAAATTATTTCATGCAATGGAACGTAATCTTGTTACTATATTTACGTAATTAAATGTAACTATCTGGAATGTGTAATACGTTTTCTTCGAAATGTTAAACAAAATGCTTTCCTGAGTTATGTTTGCTTATTATCTGTTTTGCTATAATCTCATTCTTAATCTAACTTATATTTGAAATTCGGAGCTAAGAATAATTTACCAAAACAGCAAAAAAAAAAAAACCCGATTAATTAAAATGATAAATTTGTGAAATATCATCATAAGGACTCTGAGATTTATGTATGCAACAGTGACGCGTTTTGCTGCGCTAAAACACAGTACGCTAAAACACAGTGAGGGCGACCAATCTGAATTATCATTTGCACAACAATAAAACATAGGTAAATCTCTCTCTCTCTCTCTCTCTCTCTCTCTCTCTCTCTCTCTCTCTCTCTCTCTCTCTCTCTCCGATTTGGATCTTTCAGTCATATCGCTACGATGTGTGCAGTGTGGCAGTTTATATTGATGTCTAGCACTGGGTCACTATGCCGCATACATGTAGCATCATGTCCCACCCAGTCACATGATCTTGACACCAGTTCGACTAGTACTAACGCTAACCTTTTAATGTTGAGCTCCAAACGAGGCAGCTGCTAGTACCATTTTTATAAGTCTGTGGCATAACTTGGCCGGCTTTCAAACTCGCGTTCTCTCTCATCCGTGGAAGACACTAATACTTAAGTCACCGGAACTGTCTTAATTTAGCTAGTTTTGGTTCAAGAGCATGATGCACTCTACCGAGCCAAATAGTGCAATAATTGGCTTCAAATTTTCGAAGAGGTCCTGGATTGAAGAGACATCTATAACCTGACTCTTTTATGAATCTACAATTAAAACAAATACAGTTCTTTTCGAGAACAGACTCAAATCATTGACACATTCGATTGTTTTGTTTTACTTTTGAATAACATGTCCAGTATTTCTTGTGTTTTTTTTTTGTTTCAAATGCAAATAGTCGTCAACTTCCAAGACTGGTACGAATGTGCTTTCATTTTAGTCAAACCGCCCTGAAATATGATACTATTTATCAAAAATATTCTTTAAATAAATAAAACTTAAAGAAACTGTTATGAAATACGTATTTTTCATGCTATCCGGTGAAGGTTGCTGTACATGAGTGTTTGAGTATCTGTATTAAAATTTCTCAAATGCACAAGCATTGTGCTTATGCTAGCAAAAGAGGCTAAGTCTATTATGAGGAAATATGCATTTAAATGTTCAAGGGATGGGCTCTTTCTGCAGCTAATACTATTTATATTAGCATCACCAAACTGCATAATATAATGAAACACGAGAGGAAAGAAAGTATTGTGTACTACTTTTTATTTTAAAGTACACAATTCAAAGAAACATGACCAGAAAAAGAAGAAAGCAAAAAGTAACATTCAACTGGTGCAGATCTATAGGGAATCGTAGATATGTTTTACTAATGAAGGAATGCACATAAATCTTGTAAAATTCTGTTATACAATGTGGATGTTGTGACGTTACAAGAAAAGACAATATGCATTTAATGCTTGGAATGTACTTAGGTTGTTAGTTTTAGTACACTAATTTCATTAGCGTTTACTCTGTAGAATATTCCTGATTTGCCATCTCGTCTGAGTTAGTTAGTTTCTTGGTATAGTTGCGTGTCAGTTTTTACTTTGATCCAGTCCTTAACTATAAAAATTATCACAAGCATAAATGTGATGCAGAAAAAAGTTGCTGATGAAACAAAGACGTGCTGATAAGATTTTATAGTACATAACTCACTTTAGAATGGTCGCTATATTAAAGAAGCAGCATGGCAATACGAAATATGTTTCAGTAAATGGAAGTGAATCCGCTAAAGTTGTTCACTTACTTGCGTAATACACTTGCTTTTAAGAAACACGCTTAGAAGAAACAAATTACAGTACATATATTCTAAACAATTTAGTTAGTCTGCAACAAAGACAGCAAAGATGTTTGTCATAAATTGCTTATCATGGCATCTAAGTGACACGCAGTAAATACCTTTCTAACAATTAATGGACTGGTTGGGGAACTAAATCAATGCTATATTATGCCTTTTTATCGCGTCTAAAGTATCAGGCAATCAAATAGTAGTTCAGCCCATAGCTTATATTTGAAAGTTCATGCTAAACGTTTAGAAAGATTTTTGTTTTCTCTGATTGGAGCTGAAACATATATTAATAACTTATCGGTGAAAAATTTCAGGGTTCTGTAATATTGTGCACATGGTCAGTTTTTAGAAGTCTGCAAATCTACTATTGCAACTACAGTTTGTGCCGTGTTAGATGTGTTTGTTTTTTGTTGTTGTTTTGATAGCACGTGATGTTTGATTTCTTCATATATGTTGGTCGGTGTTAGTTAATCTTCATCGTATTTGTCAGAGTTACATACCTGCATGCATACATGCATTCTGATGGTCATGGCTTGTAGATCCGCTGAACGTCGTACGAGTCGATTGAGTAGAGGCAACCTGTTGACAGTGGGTTGCGACCCGAGTCGAGTGAGGAAACGAACCAGGTAGTTGAGCAAACGGGAGACCCATTAGTAGCTCCCCGATGCATCACAATACTTTAACTTCTGCTTATTACCAGCGGCGTTGTCGAGGTGGACTCGGTCTCGACAAAATCAGCTGGTCACTTTGAGCCATAGGATGTCTTCTCGGCTTACTTTTCTCACTTTCTCTTCAATGTTTTCTATCTCTATTGATACCGCAGCCACCCCTATAGTTTGCTTCTTTGTTATCCACTCAGAAACTTCATAGGTGGTGGTATCAAACAGGTATATCAGAAGGCATATTAATTTCCCTTTAATGAACTCCGTGGTGGTGGGGATAACCATGGTGATGGATATAAAACTTAATATAACGGAAAATGAAAAGAACCTATCAGCTTAAGAAAATCAAACTTTTTACCGACTATGATGGTGATCCATGCGGCATGGAGCCATCGTAACTTTCCAATAGTTCAAAGACTAATCACTATCGCCCTAATACCAAAATCATCTAATTAAAAGGAACAGAATCCCAAGAGAGAGCACAATGGATATGATGACCCTATAAATCTATGTACTAGGTTAGGCAACTTTGGGGATATGAAAACAGAAATAATGCTCTTTGTACTCAAGACGGTTCCATCCTATGAACTACAAATTTAAATCTTACTTCCACCTGAATAATAAACATATATAAAACTTCCATATCGAAGGGTCAACCTAGTTTTAGTACACCATTTCTGCTTCTAATTCATAAAGAAGGACCATCGTACAATAGAATTGTTGAGAACTTAAAACCAACTATAAAGATATTTTTCTGCTTAAAAGTCTGCAGGAACCTTTTAAAGTAAACGGACAACAGCACACTTACAAATAACTCCCATTAACACTTACTTCAAAAATCTTGACAGAACCCAGGAGGAACTTTTATTGTTTTGGACAATTGGGCATGTCATAAAACCATTCCTTTAAACACAGATGTACAAGCCAGTGCTGTAAGCGTCACCTTATATCGAGTGAAGACTTTTTGTTCCATTTATATAGCGCCAAATACCAATTTGCAACCGAAAAAATTAGACAGTTTCGCTCAACAGCTGCTAACCTATTTGTTTTCTATGTGATTTCAATGTCCATAACATTTTATAGGGTCGCAATACATCGATGACCTCAAAATTACCAAGTTATCTCATTATATACACCTTCTATTACTTAATTTCAAAACATACCCCAAAACGGATCTTTCTACTCAATTTATCTCGAACTTACCTATTCATGTGACCTAGAATAACCAATGAGAAGTTACCGAATTGTTCTAGAATCTTCCAAAAACACAATTACAATGGAACACTAATACAAAAACGTTAAGTCTTAATATTAGTAGTAATTATCAACACAGGAGTTAAAACAATACAGATATAAAACAATAGTATAGATTATATTAACTATCAATCCAATAAATGAACAAATCAAAGCTTGTTTCTAGACTAACATTTTAATAATTCCTTTCCAAAGTGGCTTCCGATATGGCCTTAGTACAATGAATGGTCATTTGCTTAAAATTGAAATGTTCATTTGTTTTACTTTTATCAAGAAAAAACATTTAGTATATTTTTCTTCGATTTGGAAAAGGGCTATGAAACAAAATGTCATTACGAAATAAAGAATGACCAGTACGATGAGGGTTAAACAGGCCGTCTGCCCACTTTTATATGAGTATGAGTTGGCCAACCTCTCTTTGATACGTCCGAGCAGAAGAAGGTGTACATCAGGGCAACATTTTATTTGTTACTCTCTTTTAGATCTGATGTAATAACATTATTGTTTGGCTCCTGTTTTGGATTACTTCCTATATGATGATTATTTCTTAAAATGCTTTCGGTGCATACAACAGAAAGACTCAGATTGTCAAGATCAAACACGGCTTTTTTGTCCCTATATGATAGAGGGAGAGACATAAAAACAATTGGAGCAGATTCAGGCGTGTTTCAGTCCGTAGATAACTAAATCGTAGGAAGCTTCTGCTTAAAATGTGAGACTGATAGCATGCGTAATAAAAAGCTGATATTAATGGCATGTTGAATAAAGAACACTTTTGCAGCTTGGCATAATAGACATGGCTG